GAAGGCTTGTATTGTGACTCAGTCGGCTGCTCTCATCAATGTGGATTCTATCCACTTCCAGCGCTTCTTCCTGATTTCTTCCTCCACTGGATGGAATCTGGTTTGTTGTCTCCCACAGTAGGTTGTTGCTGATAGTGTCTGTCCAACGGACCCAAAATATCTTGCGTAGACAACTGTTAATAAGCACTTGTATCTTCTGGATGACAGCTTTCGTATTTCTCTGAGTTTCCGCCCCATACAGTAGAAGTGTCTTGACATTTGTATTGAAAGTTCTGAATTTGATGTTGATCGACAATCGTTTTGTGTTACAGGAACATCTTATTTATTGAATTATTTCCTTTAATAGTTCCTATATTATCAAACTATTAATGGTTGGTGAATGTTAGTGAACGTCTATATTATTATGAATCATATATATATTTAATTAGCAAGCTCCTTTACACACATAATCATTTGGAATGTAAGACACTTAAGTAAGTGTTTAGTGAAATATTTTTAGTGTACTCTTTGCTTACACTATTAGTTCTTTGTTCAACTAATGTTAATTTTGATGGAGTTTTGTTCTCTGAGCTGAATAGTTTGGTCGTAGAGCTTTCATTGTCCTTCTAAGCGACATCATCAGCCCAAACTTCTGGTAGAAGTAAAATGTTTGAATTTCTCCACATATGATTCACAGCTTGTCCTGTGCACCTCGATATTGATTGGTTCATGTTAACCTTAAATCTATCATTGTTTATTTCTTTGTTTTGGTTGTATCTCCCATTGGTTTGATTTTTGTGCTGATGATGTCGTTCAAAAGGACGTTGAAAGCTCCACGACCGAACCATCCAGCTCAGACAAAGAAAACTCCATCAAAATCATCCACGTGATCTACAAATCTCCACCATCTCATAATGATTATTTTAAAATCTGGTACTACAGATTAAATTAAAACTTTGGAAATGTTACAAACAATCCTGTGTAACAGATATCACATGATTAATATACACATTAATTTATGGTTGACTAAAACAAAGTCTATGAAAAATACCTTAATACAATTCAATATAAAGGTATGAATTTATACTTTATAAACTATCAAATCTTAATGAGATAACAAATCTCATAGTGACAATATTCTGTTAAGAACCAATCGTACATCAGTATATAGAAACATAATTCATCAGTGATTAGCTATTGATCAGTTTATGGTAGGAAATTTTCATCAGTTTTTAATTCAGTTTGAATAGATTATAACAAATTTATTATGATATGAATTAAGATACCTTTTACCTACGTTGGCACAACTGATTTAATGACCATGAGTAAGTGATCAATTTATTATGCAGTAGATAATAATTAATGTAATATGTGTCTAATTCTTCTTAGTGCAGATCGAATTAAATGTAGTCATTAGTATTGATGGCACAACATCATATGTACTATGTTGAGATGTAAAGTGGTGGTTAAAGATAGTCTACAGGAAGTGTGTGTCAATTCCCACTAGCTTATAGATACACCTTACTGACTTGTGCTAAATAGCATGAAAACTAGGTCCAAAGTTTCTGGTTGTCTACCTCCAACTACTATCTTACATCTCAAGGCTTAGCAATATTATTGTACTTGTTAAAAGTATACATTTTTGACTAATAGATTGTTTATCTGAAATGCATTCTGACTTTATTGGTCAGTTTAAGTATTCCAAAATAATATGTCATAATGTTTCTATGGATAAATTCAACAACAACAAATTGACAAAGTTTAATTAATTGTTCAGTAATGAGTTATAGTCGGATTAAACAGTTAATAAAATGTTGATCAACATGATGATCAAATAATGATCAACAATTTACAAGTCATTTTGTGGGGTGGGTTACTTATATCCATACAAGTAGTATATAACGATGGTCATCCAGAGAACGTATTTCAGTAAAAGATCGATCAGGGGAGAACGGGAACGGAATGCAATCGGTATGAAAATGCATGAACAATAACAATCGGAAACGATAGACTGATATTGTCAAAAGGAACGGTCAAGTTTAAGACAATAGATTGTTATTTTGCAAATTAACTGTTTGCTGTATGGTTATTAGATTTTAGTGAGATAGCCTGTAATTTACGTGTCAAATGCATTAGATTGTCTTCAGTCATCTTCTTGTTCACTACAATTTGTCAGAATTATAAGTGGTTTGAAAATTACGAAATCAGTTGTGATAAATTGAAAGTAAGCTTCTATTGATTTTCAATTACATTTTCATCATGCCTCTACACTAATATATAAGGTTTACAATAATGAAATAACATTCTTTTATAGTGCAGTACCAAACAAATACAAAAGAAACTTGATAATGATCCTGACACATCGTTCCAGAAGGATTTGCTCGGATGACATTATTTTAGATGAATTGGTTTATATTCGCAACATGTTTAATAGGAATGCATACCGAATGAAATTTATCGACAAAAACATGGTGGAGACGAAAAGAAGAACTAGGGTACCTACCGTTCCGAAGAAGGTATTGTTCTTAAAATTACAATTCATAAATGATGCCACGGAAGAAATCGTGACAAAGAGGTTGGGAATGGTAATTTTCACTAAATTCTATTGATTTATCAAATAATTCATCATCTTTCATAATAGGTCCTGGGTTCGAATTTCGCAAGGCGAGATCATGGATGCGAACTGCTGAGGAGTCTCAGTGCCATCCAGTGCTCCCAGGTTTTCCTTGGTGGTCTGGCTTCAATTGACTGATGCTTCCAACTATCATTTCATATTATTACATGAAGAGACTTACATCATAAAAATGAAAAATAGTTAATTATGGTTTTGTTGATCATTTTATTAATACACATTGATTTTCAGACGTTTTTGATGGAATTTATCTATGAACCATTGTATGGTATATTATGTTTATAAAACATTTTAAATTAATAAAGTATAAATTAATTTTAATTAAATTAATTATTTTAAATATACTACTTATTAATGATACAATTATGTAAGATTAGTTAAAATCTTCAGATCCTTAAATCATCTATGTTATGATCATTTTCAAAAATTCAGATCATTATAATATACATAATTTATATTATTACGTCAGTCGTAGAAAAAAAGAAAAGAAAATATATAATTGTAATACATAGATATTTGAATAAGATTATTATTATTATTACCATTACTATTATTATTACTATTATATTGAATGATGGGAAATAGATTTTTTTGTAATTTTAGATGATTTCATCAATTTGAGATTGTAGAAATGTTTTATTAGATTTTATCTAAAGTTATTTATTGAATTCGATAAAAGTATTTTTGATTTAATTTAGTATATTTTAATTGTTAGAAGGGGAGTTATATAGTTGAAGTCATGAGTCAATTGAAGCTAGACCACCATGGAAAACCTAGAAGCACTGGACAGTCGTTTCGTTCTATTGTGGAACTCCTCAGAAGTACGCATCCGCGATCCTGAACTCGCGAGATTCGAACCCAGTATCGCATAAGAGCACTTGACCGATAGACCACTGAGCCGGTATCTAAAGGTGTTAAAGTCTAACTTGAACCAATCCATGAAATTGAACAACCGTTCACCATTGTCTTCAGTGAGTTTTTATCTCACAACAGACGGGGTTGAAGTCCATTGGTCAATGCTTCTCACTAGAACTCCAGGAAATACCTCATGTAGCCAGTCACTAGTCAGCATATAATCATTATCAGAAGGGGGTTTTGTGGAGATTTTAGCAATGATATATATGAGTCAATTGAAGCTAGACCACCATGGATCGAATATCGCGAGGTGGGATCGTGGATGCGCATTGCTGAGTGATCGCACAATAGGACGAAACGGCCGTCCAGTTGTTCCAGGTTTTCCTCTGTGGTCTAGCTATATTTTCATTGATTTAATTATCAAAATATCACTCACTATTTAACTATGAGAATTAGATTATTGTTGCTATTGCAAATTTATTTTTTCTTATTCAATTAAAAAAACGTTTTTTTTAAAAAAAATTTAACTTATTCATTTAAAAATTAATTTACAATTATACAAAAATGAAAATACTTTCTATTTATATATAACCAATGAAGTTGAAGAATAATTTTTTTGTATACTATAATTGAATGAATTGAAATTCGATGATCGAATCTTTGAATAGTTATCTTTATGGTTATTTAGATTACATTAAACTAATGTGTAGTATTCTCATATATTCATAGAGTGATTTTATGTTTTATAATTTTGTATTGTTTCTTTGAATATTTCCATTGATGCTTAAGAGTGTAATTGATCAGTGTCTTATTGGTATATATACATCCTGTAGGAATCGCCTCAATATTGCTTGAAGTCATAAGCATTATCAGCAAAGATGGATGTTAGCTATTAATTAAATCAAGGACAGGCGTTTCGTCTTATTTGGGACTTGTCAGCTGGATGTATGTGCATCTCAGAGTTGATTTTCACTCTGGGACTCGAACTTATTATCATTCGCTTCAAACGCCATAGCGTTATCCACTTAACTACATAGTCACACGTTTGTGCAATCGGTTGAAGTTTAATTCATTTTTATACAAAATTAAGTTAAAAGCGTGAGTCAATTGAAGCTAGACCACCGTGGATTCACGCTTTCAACTATAATAAATACTAAATCTCCACAAAACCCCTTCTACAAAATTAAGTATCATTTTGGTGACATTTAGCCTTGATTCATAGTATTGGTTATTTTATTTAACATTACACTAGACAACAAATGTAAATAATTATGTCTACTAGTTTGAATGAGAGCATGTTGACTTTGGCACATTTTACACAATTTTAATGTCGTAAATCAATATATATATATATATATATCACCATTTTTAGTCTGAAAAAAATTTATTTATGTACCAACGTGTGAAGGGATTATAGACTACAGATCAACATTAGGTTACATTTTAATTTTATATCATTTAGGAACAAAATGAAATCAAAATTAAAATGTTTTAATTTCTTATACATTCAATATTATAATCTACTTGAACTTACCACCACCATTACGATAACATATAAATGGAAATCGCCATATATTTCCAAGATCTACAGCAAAACCAATAACAGCTAATAAGAAATCAATTTTTGAATCCCATGTTTCACGTTTATTACCTTGTATAATATTATCTGAATTAATTGATTGACATTCTATTTTATTTCTAATCTTATCACATTTTACTATTGTACATTTATTTTCATTATCATATATTAAATCATTTGATAAATTTGGTTGTGATTTACCTTTTGATATATAACTTTTTATAGGTTTATGTAATTTTTGACTTGATACACTCATTGAATCATTATCATGTAAATAATACAGATTAGAATTTTGTCCAACAAATTCTTGAACTTGTGATGATGACAATTGACTAGACAAATGATGATTTGTTTCATCCGTGATTATTCTTGTTTCAGATGGTAAACAATATTCAGGTTGTGGTTTTATTCGTTGATCATTGATAGAATAAATTTGTTGTTCAAATTGATTGATTAAATTAGAACAAGTTGTAGGTGTATTATGATTCATTAAAACTTTTCTTAATTAAAACTATTTATTTATATTATCAGTAGTATTGAGATAATTATTTTAAAAAAAAGGGTTTTATATATTTTAATTATTTTAAATAGAATATAGGGATTGAATAGAATCTAATAGTCTATAAGTATAAATAATTCAACATGTTTTGATTATTAAGTATTTTATTAGTAATAATGATCAAAAATATCATTTTTATCCTTACATAGCTATTCGCTAATAAGACAATTTAAACTAAAGAGTATACTGAACTAAAACTAACCAATCATTTCTCAATTAAGGTTAGTACGGTAGAAATATATTTTAAGTATTAAAAAATTATTAAAAAAAACTAATTGGACTATAAGTAAAGATGGATAGTAGCCAGTAGTGGAATCAAGTTTGACATGCGTTTAAACCTATTTGGGACTCGTCAGCTGGATGTACCTGTATCTCAGAGTTGATGTTTAGACTGGGATTCGAATTCATTAACGTTCACTTCAAACGTCATGACGTTATCCACTTAGCTACTGAGTCCTGATAGCCACTTGCTTGTGCCATGGGGTGAAGTTTAAATGCACTTAGTATTACTTGCTTGTATCTTCCCATTGATGTTTAGGACTGCAACTGGTCAGTCTCTAATTGGATTATTTTCATTCATCTCAATAATGATACTTCAAATATAACATCTAGAAATTTGAATGTTGAAAGAAATTCAGATGACTATTGGTAGTGTCATTATACATTTTTAACAAACCTTAGGACTATGGGAATATGTAGATTCATTTTCTATTTCAAAAAAATGAAATAATAGTGTAAGATGTTCATCTAGTCTCAATCTTGAGTATATATGAATTATGCTTATCTAACGAAAACAGATTATAGAGGCCATTCAATGAGAAGGAGTATTTCTGTAGGTACATCACTCTTTCAATATGATATAGAATTAAGTGATTGTTTACTTTCGTTATAGATCCTAAAGTAAACAATGTATATTATTGCCTTCATTATGTTAACTTCTATCTTTTTCAGAAGAAAAGCATAATATTTAGTAATCTGTTCGGTGATGACTTTGTGACAGTACAAAGTAATATAAAAGAGTGAACAGTTTATACTGAAGACAATTCTAATAATTGTATAACACTTTTCTGATCAAAGAATATTCTTTTCTTTAACTGAAGGAAAATTGTACATACTTTGATAAACATGTATAATCAAACTTAGTTTTGTACATACGAAAATCTTACAACTTATATATTATAATAATATCGCAAGAATGATCCAGGAACACTTACCTAAGTACTGTTTTAACTTGATATTCCACTCAAGTGACTTTTAGATTTTAAAAAATATTGAGTATCAATGTTCAACCATTTTGAATTGAATGTTTCATGGTTCATGGAATCTGTTGTGAGTTAGGAACTCACTGAAGACGATTGGTGGACGGTAGCTCAATTTTGTGGATTGGTTGGAGTTAGACATAAACACCTTCGGATGCCGGCTCAGTGGTCTATCGGTTAAGTGCTCTGGCGCGAGACTGGTAGGTCCTCGGTTTGAATCTCTCCAGGCGGGATCGTGGATGCGTACTGCTGTGGGGTCCCATAATCGGACGAAACGGCCATCCAGTTCTTCCAGGTTTTTTCTGTTGGTCTTGCTTCAATCGACTCATGAATTCAACTATAAATATACCACTAAGCGTAAATTGATTTTACATACCTAGTGAATTTATAGAGGTATTATATAGGTTACTTTTCCTGTAAATTGGAAAAAACATTTCAAATTCATTCTCATGAGTAATAAATCACGCTTCTTCCTAAAGCTTTTTAAGGACCCATACAGTATCCGTGAAAATTTTAAACATTATAGAGAACATCTATACTCAGTAATTATTTATATTTTACGAGATCTAGTTGTTTTCTAGTGCCTTCAGTAGTTCAAAGTTGATTATTTAAAGAGATAGATGAAGCAGTAACCAGTGGAGTTCAACCGGGTTTGTTGGGAGATATCAACTCACTGATGACATTGGTGAATGGTTGCTCAATTTCATGGATTGGTTGGAGTTAGACATAAACACCTTCGGATGCCGGCTCAGTGGTCTATCGGTTAAGTGCTCTGGCGCGAGACTGGTAGGTCCTCGGTTTGAATCTCTCCAGGCGGGATCGTGAATGCACACTGCACACGACCGTCCAGTGCTTCCCAGGTTTTCCATGTTGGTCTAGCTTTAGTTGACTCATGCTTTCAACTATAAAAAAATACGAAATTTCCACAAAACCCCTTCTGTTTATTGAAATCATAAATTTAATTCTACAAATATTTGTTAGGTTATTTATCATCTTTTGGAACTTTTTTCAATTTTTTTGTACATACTTTACAATTTACATAGTTTACAATTTTTTCAGTCACTGCTAGATAAACGTATTTAGTTATATCCTTACAATAGTTAATTATGAAATTATAGAAAATGTAAAACGTAAAAGGAGTACTTTGTAAATTGAGTAATTACAAAAATGGTGCGTTTTTTTTCTCAAACAATTTCAAATATTATCATAATCATGTCGAATTTAAGCGGTTTTAAGTTACTGATTTTATCATGTTTAAATTGAATATATACATTCACTTAGTATTGTTTGTTTGAATCCTCCCATTGATGCTTAGGAATGCAACTGGTCAGTCTCTAATTGACATATTTGCATACTGTGCGTATTGCCTGGATATAGCCTTGTAGGATATAGCATTGTAAGCCAAGATGGATAGTGACTAGCAGTGGAACCCAAATGGGACGAAACAAGAGTCCTGGATTCCGCTGCTAGCCACTATCCATCTCTGCTTAGAATGTTTACATTGTATTTCTTTTGAGATTTCTTTCAAGAGGAAATTTAAAAAACCCGCTACTTGAATACAATAAACCATTATTATACATAAGGGTGTTAAAAATAAAATAAGGAATGTTAAAACAGGGATGTATTACGATCTTCATCTTTCATTTACAGACCTAACATGTGTAATCAACTAGATAATATTAAAATCCTTTTTTGTTTTAAATATAACAAGAGCCTACGATTTATTAAATACAATAAAAAAGTTTAATCGATCTGCTGTCGGCTTCATAATCATTTCTCTGTATACTGAAGCTACATTAGTACATAGTAGGAAACGTTGAATTTGAGGAAAATCTACTAGTAAAATTAAGCAAGTTGTCACAATTCATTGAATCAAATATTAAACTCATACTTATTAGTGACTGATTTTGAGTTGGATACTCAACACTTTAGTAGCACCTAATTGCAGAAATATAGTTATCTTTAAATTTAGTCAGATATCCATTAAAAACAATCGATGATTTGAGTGCTATATCATGATTAACCATTTTTCAAAATAATATTATTAGATTACAATTCAGTGGTCTAAAGATAACACTAATGTTGTTAGACGTCAATGTTCATGCACTGTTGAAGAGTAACAAACTGACCTAAAATAATCGGTAACTTTCTCTAACATTGCAATCGTTTTTTGGCAAATAATTTTTTTGAAATATAAACCGATTATCAGGTTAATTAAATCTTTACAAATTATCTATTATCAAATAACGATTATATATATTGTAAGCAAAGATGGATAGTGGTTATAAGTGGAACGCACGTCTTTTTATCTTTACTGGATTCCACTGCTAACCGCTATCCATCTTTGCTTATAATGCTTGTGAATTAAGGCTATATCGGGGTAATACGCACAGTATGCACAAATACGACAAATAAGAGACTGATCGATTGCAGCCCTGGGTTCGAATCTCGCGAGTGCGGGATCGTGTATCCGCACTGCTGAGGAGTCCCATAATAGAACGAGTTGGTCATCCAGTGCTTCTAGGTTTTCGATGGTGGTCTAGTTTCAATTGACTCATGATTTCAACTATGAAAATACTAAATTCTCCACAAAACCCCCTCTGAATAATTTTAATAATTGAATTTTTATGAATCAATGTAAACTAGACCCACATGTATTTCCAAGTTTTCAATGGTGGTCTAACTCAGATCAACTCATGAATTTGACTATTATTTAATTGTAGTTACCGAAACAGTTATCAAAACATTGTTTTTTCTTAAAAAAACTTCCATTATAATTGGCCAACATTTGTAATAGACTAAAAAACAAACGAGAAAAAACAATAATAACACAAACTGTATAGAGTATTATAAGCAAAGATGGATAGTGACTACCAGTGGGATCCCCTTTGACGACGTTTCGTTTGGGTCTTTTATGTCCCAAATAAGACTAAACGCGTATCAAACTGGATTCCACTGCTAGCCACTATCCATTTTCGCTTATAATGCTTGTGAATTAAGGCTATATCGAGAGAATACGCACAGTTTGCACATATGCCAATAAGAGACTGATCAATCGCAATGCCAAACAACAATGAGAAGATTTAAACAAACAATACCAAGTGAATGTATAGAGTATTATTATTATCATTATCATATTTTGGTTTATTTTTTTTAAATTTTAAGCCTGTGTGTAAATACATGAGATTGAATTTTATTTTTTTATTTTTTTAAATCAGAATTTACACACTTTTCATTGAAAAAAATCTGACCTGAAATGTACGACTTTTATTATTAAATTAAACATCAAAAATTATAATCCCTAATGATAATAAAGCACCATGACAACATTTGATATTATTATTTTGTTTAGAATTTTCTACTCAACCTTATATAAGAATAATTTTATAAGTGTAGTTTATTAAATATCAGTTATAATTATTTTATTATTTATGAAATAAATAATTAAGTATTATAATCAAAGATGGATAGTGGCTAGTGGTGGAATCCAGTTTGACATGTGTTTCGTTTTATTTAGGACTCGTCAGCTGGATGTACCTGTATCTCAGAGTTGATGTTCACTCTGTGACTCGAACTCAGTACCGGTCGCTTCAAACGCCGTCGCGTTACTTACTTAGCTAATGAGTCATGATAGCCACCTGCTTGCGCAATGGAGTGAAGTTTAAATTCACTTAGTATTGTATGCTTGAATTTTCCCATTCACGTTTAGGATTGCAATTGATCAGTCTCTGGAATGATTCAACCTAACAATACTAATTGAATTCAATTAATTAGGTAGTTGTTAAGATGAAAGAACAGGTTCTTTTGAAGCTTGTTCTATAAATCTTTTTAGTCATAGTGGTTATGTTGTATTAATTTATTTCGTTATAGATAGATTTCAAACGAAACTACTTTATTATCAGAAGGGGTTTTGTGGAGATTTTAGTATTTTTATAGAGTTGAGATCATGAGTCAATTGAAGCTAGACTACCATGGAAAACCTGGAAGCACTGGACGGCCGTTTCGTCCTATTATGGGACTCCTCAGCAGTGCGCGTCCACGAACCCACTCTCGCGGGATTCGAACCCAGGACCTACCGTGGATGCGCACTGCTGAGGAGTCT